AAGAGTGTAACGTAGAATTAAGGCACCAAGACCAAGGATTCCTGAAGGGTGTCAAGTGTCAACCATGAGCTAATGCACTTGATGTGAGTATGCACAACAAATTATTCAGAAGAACATGAGTTTGAATGTCACTAGCGATGTGAAGACCTTGTTATTGTTATTGGTAATATGTAAGTATTTTTTTAAGCACTCTTTGAAGACTTGTCCTGACTGCGGCGAACTCTAACCACCCAACTCACCGTAAGCTAAAGTACACCAAAAAAAAGAGTTTGTTCTGAAATTGCAAAAACTTGAAACATGCAAATGAAAATTCAGAATTTTGAGAAACCCCAGGAGATGGAAGGTGAGTAGTAGTGAAGAGTAGGTGTAAAAGATAGGTTCTATAAAAGGAAGGGGACCAGAATTGAAGTGAGTGGTGTGTAAGTCTTTTGGGCAGTTTCACATAAACCTGTTGCTAACTGCTTGCTAAATATAGAAAGCCGTCAATCGTGTCGCCCTTTCTTATTATGGACACAAGAAATTAATAATAATAATAATAATATAGTTAATTACTTATATACTGTTAGTGTAAAATATTAATTAATTTTTTTATTTTTATTTAATTAAAATTAAAAGATATAATTAGTTATATATAAGTGATTAAATCTTAAAATTTTACTAAAATTGTATGGGTAATATTTTAGCATGATGCTGAACACCACGTACGAATTTATTGAGCGAAGCAGCAGTATTCAAGTGGAACCAGGAATCTTATGGATAGACAACTATTAACTATATTTGAATAAAGAAAATAAAAATGGATATAATTATTCTGGTGACATTGAGAATGATGTGCTTTTTGTTTTTTGTTTTTTACGAACCTTAAGCTCTCTCCTTAGGTCATTTTTTTCATTTTAGTACAATTTATACTTTTTACTCATATATATTTAATATCTTACCCTTACAAGTTTTTTTCAGCGATGTTATTAACTTTAAAAAGTTATAAGAAATTAAGACCATCTATATTTTTTTTTTTAAGTGATATTCGATTTATTCAATGGGTGTTGCAATATTTTATGAATGTGAGCTCATATGATACAGATTAATTACTTGTATAATTATGTACAAAAAAAAATCTTATATGATTAATGTTTATTTACTAATGGTGGATCCTGGTTCAAAAGGAAACTGCACACGGTGCACTCACATATCTCACCATTAATATAATAAATTTTATTTTATGATGTAATGAAAGAAAAACTTATTAGATGAGACTCGTGCACTTTAACTTTTTTAAAATGCAAAGGATCAAAATCAATCGATGGTACAGTAAAATTAACTAACTCTAATAGTATAACTGATTAACGTATAATTACTTAATTTAAGCTATTAGGACAAAAAAATTATAAGAAATATTTTAAAAAGCTAGGAAGAAGTTAATAAAGTGTAATATGCTTGAGAAAAAAAAAATCATTTCATTAAATATGTGATTCGAAGTTCAAAATTTGATTTGTGTATATATAAAACTATTTGGAAGGAAACATTAATCCTCAAAACATATCTTAATACTCTAAAGAATTAGTGATTAACTTTCGGTTAAAATTTTTAGTTCACTAAAAAAATTCTACAATAGAAATAATAATTAAAATGTTTTTAAAAATGAATCACTATAGTTAGTCTAATAATAAAAGTTACAATAGTATATATAAAGTTTTAGAACTTGTCTTTATAATTTTGATAGATTAAAAAAATAAAATAAAAAACATTACAAAATATATAATGAGAGAATTTGTATATTATATATAAATATATAAAAGAATATCCATAAAGAGTCTGAATAAGTCATATTCTTTTTTCAAAAAAAAAATGTTAATTGTATTGCATGTCATTGTAATAAAGTATAATACTTTTCTTTTTCCCATGTCCTCAACCACAAAAATGAAGTGTTTTGTATGCTTTTATTATGTGCTGTCAACTATTCACCCATGATGTAAGAACGCTGATATGTAACATTAAAATTCTTATAAATGTTGAAAATTAAATCAAAGAAAGCTTTCATTATTTGACTTCAAAAATTTGTGTAAAATCACTGAATGTGTGTATTGATCGATATAAAATTATCTTAGCTTAATTATTAGTTTAAATTATGAATATCTAGCTATATTAAAAATTTTAAATTTAACTTTATCATGAATAGTAATCATACTTAATCTGAACAAGAGAAACTTGCGTCTTTTAAAAGAAATGTTTATAAAAAAAAGCTATTTTCATTCCAAGTTATTTAATTATAGGAAGTGATATTATATATGGTTTAGGGTTATATTGTTAATAATTTTTTACTTTATTTCATTGTCTGAGGCGATTTTTCTTTAATTTTCCCCTCAAGAGGAAAACTTGTACGTGTTGTTTAACAAATGTCATACGTGAGACGTGGGTGTGACTACTGATTTCTTGAGGCCAAAAAGCAAAATATGATGAATTTAAAACTATTTCATGTTACTATCCTAATATGAGATATTTTCAGCAACATGAATTTCTTAAATATAAAATATAAATATCAGAACAAGTCAAGAGAACAGAAATGCATGTTTATGATTATGATCAAGTCAAGAACGCCTCTTTCCATATATTATAAATCCATGCTTATTTTATTTTTTTATATTAGTTATCAACGATTCTAATAGATACTCCCTCTAGATTCATATGAAAACAAAATATTTAAATTTATGTATATTAAGAAAATTAGTTAAATTCATTTAATTTTATTAATTTTATATAAAAATTAAATTTTATTTTATAAATTACCCCTTAATAATACTTCTTAAAAATAGTAATCATATTTAATTTAATGATTATTTTTTAATATGAGTCTAGAGGAAGTACTTTATATGAATTACATGGTTATCAAATTCATGCTTCTTTTATAGAGAAGGAAAACTTGAAGAAACACTATTTTTAATAGAGGAATGCTATATATTCCAAAGCATGTCTCTAATTCATCCTCCAAAATCGGTTAATAACTTATTAGTGTGGAAAACTTTAGATAAAATCTTTTTTAATTTTAATATTTTAAAATTTTATACTTTCATAAGATTTTTTGGTCGGTAAGTTTTAGAAGAAGAATCATTTCTTGAATAGAGGAATGATATATTCTGAAACATTCCTCCGATTTATCCTTTGAAACGGATAATAACTTATACATGTGAAAAATTTCAGATAAAATATTTTTTATATTTTAATATTTTAAAATTTTATATACCTTTGGAGGATTTTCCGTTCAATAAGTTTTGGAGGAAGAATCATTTCTCCTGAAATTGTGTTTGTACTTTGTGTTTGGAGAAAAATATCCTCTAAATCGGTTAATAACTTACATGTGTAAAAAATGTCAAATATTTTTTTTTTTATTTTTAATATTTTTAAATTTTATACCTTCAAAATATTTTTCGGCTGATAAATTTCGATGGAAGAATAATTTCTTTTTTTAATTAGAATTTATGATAGATTGGCAAAGTTGCGTATCAATTATTAACTATTACTTTGACTAGTTTTCAAACCGTGAATTCCACGGCTATAATTAACACTAATAGTGTGTTTGGATGGAGAATTTAATTGAAATAATTCATTTATTTGAAGAATTTCAAATTCTTTGAGGTGAAATACCTTGTTTGGATGGAGAATTTATAAGGAATTTGAAATTTAAGCATTTGTGAAATTCCTTGAAATAGTAAAATTTCAAATTCTCCTAAAAAAGTAAAAATTTGAAATTCCTCATATTTTTTTTCCTTATTTCACTTATAAAAATACTTTATTATATGTTTAATATGAAGAATTTTATTATATGTTTAAAAAGATTTTATTCATTCCCTTAAAAACAAAGATTTTATTCATTAGTAACAACGATAAAACAAAAAAAAACCATCGATAATGAAGGCAACCCCTTCGTAGGATTAGAGAAAACCATCAATTTCAACAAAATTTATAATGGCATTTACATATAGCCTATTAATAAGAAAAAAAAAATTGAATCAAAATCTCGATTAGCATGAGCCGAAGACTCGATTAAATAATAATTTGTTGCTACGGTAACATAAAACTTAAACAGATGAATAAAAGAATATATTTATGAAGAACGTAATTTATTACAAAAAGTCCTTCCAAAAAAGTTAAAGAAAAAGTTATTATTATTATTATTATTATTTTTCATAGAGTGCGTACTGCGTAGATCAACTTGTAGAGACTTATTTAAGTACTATTTTGTAGAAAAAATATATAATAATATTTAGAAATTAGTATGAGTTATTCTACTTATTGAGTGTAAAAATGATGTGATATATATATATATATATATATATATATATATATATATAAGTAAAAGATAAAAGACAAAGTAAAAATTTATACACATTATATTATTAAATTTAAAATGTACCCAAAAAATTACGTTAAAAATTTAATTTGCTATTTTTTTCCTCTCAAGTGAAAAATGAAGGTTTAATAACATTACATTATATTTTTCAACTTTACATGCAAAATTTGTAAAACAATAAATCTTAACTTATTTAATATATAAATATCATATAAATTTTAATTACTATGTATTGTTTTAATTGTTCAATTACTTATTTGAAGTCTATATAAATTTCAAGATACTATATTATTTACATAAATAAAAATATAACGAGTAAATTACCATGTGTTTCTACGTCAAGGGCAGAACACAATGACTCTTGTACAGTTTCCATTCATTGTAAATATCTATCGTAATTTTGAAAAAATGAGTCAGTTTTTTTCTTTCTTCTTTATCAACATGTACATTTGACAATAATGATTATCAACATCTGAACTTAACACTGGATGAATACATGAATAATTAATATAAACATGCTGCGCTGAGGTTGGCGAGGAACATAGTTCAAACCCTTAAAAGTTGAGTGCATGACATCTTTGTGCAAAACTGTTGATTTGTTAACTCATCATTTAGGCCTCACCAAGTAAGATGCCCAAATCTCATTAGCCGGAGGAGGAGGCTGAACCCAGTGCCCTGGTATGCGGCTGGATGAAGTTGCAAAGAAAAAAAATATATATATCAAATAAGATAATTAGATAAATGCTTTATTTTCATTTTTCACACTCACTGATTACAATGCATAATTGACAATTGACATTAGCAAACCAATACACTAGCAGATAAGATCATTAGTGTCAAAAAAGGTGGTGGTCTGGTGACTTTAGTCAAGAGTCTTGACCTCTCGTGAATATATATTTAAATGACTTAACATCCGATGTTCTCTCTCTTAACTCAATTTTGAAATGCAATCTAAGATATGACTAAAGCAGAAACACATTTGGCTAAAGTAACTTTGGTATGCCCTTAAAAATGAGGGTAAAATATTCATCGATGAGATTTACAAGTAAAATATGTCGAACATTGAGATATACAAGTAAAATATCCCTTAATGGCCACCGCCATTTTTCAGGCAATACCAGAATAATCCAAAGAATCAAGTATTAGCAGAAAAGTTTCATAGCTCTTATTTCTTACCTTCCTCCTGGTCTGATATAGGCATCCCATCCTCTTCTTACCTGCATGAGTTTGTTCAGCAGCCTTAATTTAACAATGAAGAGTTTATAATGAACATGCAAGTGAATTAAACTTAAACCGGTAATTAAAAAAAAAAAGGTAGAATCAACAGGCTATTAGTGTACCAGTTAAGTGAAACTAACAGCTTTTCGAACACGAAAAAATCGATAAATTACATATGAATTCTGAGGGGGAAAAACAAGAAATATGTTGTTTTGCAAGAGATGTAGAATTTAATAAATAAAAATAGTTGAGTTTACTACTTTACCTCAATAAGTGTGCCCATATCATTGTTGCTTCCATGATAATAATGGTAGAATTCGATGGGTAAATTTGCTAAAGGATCATATGCTCCTCCACAGATCTGTCCTATTTTACTAGATTTCTTCTTGTCAACTGCATCAGATCCCTCATCGGCCACACTGTGAACTATTTGCTCTTTGCTCTCCTTTACTTCACTATCATCATTGCTTCCTTTTTGGAGTTTCCCTTGATTCTGAATAGCTTTCCTGGATTCCTCAGCAGTTGCAATTGCATCCTTAGCAGCATCTGTTTCAACAGCAGCCAAAGCTTCACGCTCCTCTTCTTCCACTGCAGCTTGAACCCTCTCAAGAAACTTGTCGTCCTCCTCTGGGAGAAAATGGCCTGCATAATTTGTATAGAACCATAGAAACGTCAAACATGAAAGTAAAGTTTAAATATGTGAATATTACAAACTCTTGCATACGCAGAATAAGAAGATATTGAAAGCTTTCCAATCAGAAAAGCAACTAAAACCATTCCTATTATATCATCAAATTATGAATGTATGGTTTCAAATTGATAATTAACAAATTTGTTAAATATATTTCTCATGATACATTTATATGGTGAATAGGTAGCTATTCAGCTTTAACCAAAATGCTAAGCATCAGAGCTTGAACTCAAGCAGACATAATTAATAAATATGATCAAACAATCATATACATGCATTCAGGACTGTGAATTTAAGGTACTACATTAATATAACAAGTCCAAAAGTTATAAATGGCAGCAAGGTTGGACAAAAAGAAACCAAGCAAGCCAACAAAGAGACCAAGTACTGCTATGCAGTTATGCACTACAATCATAAACCAACTAACTAAAAGCAGAGAGATTTTCTTATATATACCTTGTTTTTTCAACTTTTCTATTCTTATGGAGCGTAACTCTTGAAGCTTCTCCACCACCAAGAGCAGCTCAAGCTGTGATAACACCCAATGGCAAAGAGGAAGTGATGGGGGATAAAAATAAAATGTCATGATTCATATCCAGCAAATAGACATACGGACAGAAATGATAGCCATGCACATGGTTATTTTTTAAGAGACTCTGACTGAAAAAAATCAATGAACCCTTTGACAGACTCAAAAAGACAAAAATAGAAAGACAAGAAGGCAAAAGAACAAGGAAATTGATGGTGAGGAGCTAAGGAACATACCATGTTGAAAAATAAAGGGAAAAATTAAATAATTTAGGTAGTTAATAAGAGCAAGTGAAATAAAATTCATAGCATGCGCTATATCGGACGGAATGTTGACCAAGTTCTTCAGATTTAAAATCAGCCATAAATTATAAATGGTTTACCAGCCATTTGTACAAAATGAAAGTTACCTCAGCTGCTAGTTTCTTCTTCTCTTCTTTGGCTTTAGACTTTGCAATTTCTTTCATCTTCAGTACCTGCAAATAGAAATGTCTCCGACATTACAAAGACTTATGGTGCAAACTGATGTAACAGCTAATATATCTATAAGCAATTTCTGAAACAATGAATCAGAATTACCCTTCCCCATTTTTTCTACAGAGAACAGTAAAGAAAACATAGCGGAAAAGAGTTTGAAACAAGTCAGCAAAATAGGCACAGCAGGTAGTTTGAAGCAATATGCAGAAATGTGTTATTGGAAATATCATGAACTGTATGCCTTTCAATTAGCTCCACTATTAATCTGAATTACAAGTATATAGACATATATAAACAATACACTAACAGGGACTCCACTATAATTATTTATTGGTAATAAATCTAATGATGATTAAAGAAATAATAATAAAGTATGAGAAGTTTCCCATAATCAGCTAATAGTCTATGTTTATTTAAGTATCAATCATTGAATTTTGTCAGAGACAGTAATCATATATCTTTTTGAAAACCCTTTCTTAATTAAAATTTAAAATCATATTGACACGGTATTCATTAGCTCTAATAAAGACAATCACCAATTTCACTCAAAATAAATGTAAGTACAGTTTGCAAAATTTTCAATACCTTGCTGTTAGCAATTTCCTTGGCATTCTCCCTAGCAATCCATTCATCAGCTTCTCGGTCCATTTGATCAAATTGCTCACGCTCCTAGATTTTTTCAGCAAAAAAGACAACCAAGCAAAGTAATCAGTCTCAAACAGCAGCTATAATGAAGAAGAAAGGGAAAACCTAACAAAACCAAACCAAAGCAGAACAACCTTAGCCAGCATCTCAGCGACACGCTTCCTCTTTTTCTTCCTCCATAGTTTATTCCGCTTAGACTTATTCACTTTATTTGCAAGCTTAACCGCAGCAGATTTCTCCTCCCAGGGACTCGCTTCATCGACAACATATCGAAATGGTTCTAATTGAGATCTTAGCTTTGACATCAAAGAATTTGCTGCTTCCACAGCCAATGACTCTTGGGATTCTACACTAACCCTTCCGTCTTCTAAACATTTTAGAAAATCAGAAAGACGAGGTTCATTTGAACCATGTTTTACATCTTCTAAAGACCCTTTACCATCTTTGATCATCAGCAACATCTCTAACTCCTTCTGCCTACAGAACTTAACACTAAACTAATTCAACACTATCAAACAGCGTGATTAAAAAAATAATAAAAATCAGCCGCACTTCAAACAGCTTATAATCATAACGTAAGAAGGACTTACATTGCATTTGCGAGACTAAGCGTGTGTTGCAATTCACTGAGGCGATCGCAGACATTTCTGTTCTCCCAGAAGGAAGTTGAATTTGGTGGTTCGGAGGGTAACATCGGAAACCATGAAGGAGGCGGTGGTGGTGCAGATTGAAAAGGAATCGGATTCATTGCAATGAAGTAGTGTGAGATTCAGAGGACGGAAAAAACCCTAACTATAAGATTAAGAATAACATGAGTCGGTGGCAATAGCATTGAACCAAAACAAAGAGGAAATATAATTGATTTTGGTTTCCGCTGTAAGAAATTGTGAGTCTCACTTGCAACTGTTTGATTTGAAAGGAAGAAATGAGAGAAGACCAAGTGAGGACAGGGAAGAAAAAGAAAGAATAAAAAAAAAATTATTGTTATATTGTACACTTAAAAATTAAAATAATTGAAAAAAAAAATCAAATGAAAGATAATCAAATTTAATTAATGTTAAAAAGTAATATAATCGTTGATTCGGTCTTATAAGGAGAAAAAAATTAAAAATATTATATTAATCTCTCTTCACGTAAATACGTAATCATTGTTAATAAAGTTAACATTTCAAATTTTACTTCAAGTAATGTCATAAAATTCATAATCAAATATCTTCTATTGGATTATAATTTTAAAAAAAAATCAAAAAAATTATTATAAATTTTTTTAGGCAATTAAAATAATTTTTTTTTTAATTTTATAAAAATATGATAATATACAATTAAAATATACTTTTTTACTTAAAAAAATTTATTAATATTTAAAATATAGAGATTATAATTAATTATTTTAAATAATAAATTTTATAAGATTTTTTAACCTAATTTACATGTAATTCACTCGTCAAATAATCTTATAAATTTTTTTGATTTTCATGACTTTTTTTCTTTTACTTTTGTTCTTTTTTTTTTCTCTAGTCTTTTTTACTTTTTTTTCTCTCATATTCTTTTTTCTATTTCTTTCTCTCTTTTTTTCTTTTCTATCTTATTTTTTCATTTTCTTTTTACTCATCCCTCTCATTATCTCTTTTTCTTTGTTTCATTTTGTTTTTTCTCTCTCATTCTCTTTTGCCTTTTTTGCTTTGTTTTTTTTATTCATCCATCTCATTTATCTCTTTTTCTTATTTCTCTTTCTCTTTTTTTATTTTATTTTTTTACTCCCATCAATAGATGTATAATTTATAAATATTTTTTTTAATTATTAAATATTTAAAATAATTTTTGTATTGCTAAAACTTTAAAATTATTACAATATAATTTTTATTTTTAATAAAATTTAATATTGTAATATAAAATTTTGAACACATATATTAAAAAGATTTTGTAAGTCATGGTAATGATCCTAAAAATGAAAATGAAGTTTTTCAATTTCTGTCATATATTCTTAAGAAATGTAATTAAAAAAATATTTAGTACTTTAAAATCATGCTTCATAATTTTTAAATCAGACTTCTATTTCTATTTAAGGCACAAACTGGACTTATTAGTGTGTTACACTACATAACTTTTTTTTTTTGCAAAAAATGTTTTGATAAATTTTTAATTAAATTAGTGAATGAATATTCATCTTCAATGCTGCCAGTTAACGAAGATTATAATTTTAAACACATTATTCATACTAAAGTACATGAAAGATGATATGTCAATGCATGGAAAACTAGTATAACTTTAGATATGTTAAAAAAAATTAGGTAGGAGAACATTAAAATTAATTATTTGTTAAAAGATTAAGATAATTATTTGTCAAAAAATAGAAGAAAAAAAATTGGTTTTACTTTTCTTTATTATTTATCTTATATTCTTCTTATTGAATAGTGTAATATTACAAATTCATATTATTTGGTAAAATTCATAAAATACTTTAAAATTCTATAATATAAATTCATCAAAATCCAATAGAATTCATTTAAAATCTAATTTTTGAAAGTGTTCTAAAAAATATTAAAAATAATAACATTTTCATAAAGAAAATGTCCCTTTCATTAATTATTTTGCTTTTCATTATATAAAAGAGATACTATTTCATTAGTCTACACGTGAATAGAGTATATTTATATCATTGTATAAAGGAGACACTTCTTTCATCAATTATTTTGCTTTCCATTTTTATTACGATCATTTTACTTTAAATCTAAATCACTTTTTTCTCTTTTAGTATCTTTATTTTTCAATTTTTTTATTCTTTTTAGATAACTACTGATGTAATTATTCATTATATAATTTATTTTTAAATATTTTTAAAAAATATAAAAAAACATAGAGTGTCCTTTTTTTTTTCTTCTCAAATTGTTAATAAATAAAGTACGTTTTTTTGTTCACATCTAAAAAAAAAAATATTTCGATATTTAAGACAATTCAACACACTCTCATACAAACTTTTGACAAATCATTTGATCCTTTATTAGAGCTACTTTAAGTCATTATTCTTTTCATTAATCACCCCTGTATTCTTTCATTACAATGTAAAGATCATTTTTGTCTCAAGTATACACACACCTCCACAAGCTTTAATAATGTTACTGGTCAAATGAGTATTGATTTACTCACTTCAAGACCACTAAAAAGCCCTTTTCCTTCACGGCAATAAGGAGCTAAAAGATCAAGTCCTTTTCCATGTATTGATTTTGAAACTTTATTTTGTACTTATAAATTTAGATTTTAATAAAATTCAACTTTATGTAAAGTTCGGATTAATTATTAATGTATTTAAAATTTCAAGCGTGTGATTCAGCGATAAGGGTTAATTCACGCTCAAATGTAGTAAGGAGATTAGTCACTACTATCAGCGATGAATACTTTAGAGACGAAAAAAAAATTATTAATATATTTGATTTTTAATTGAATTGCATATAGATTATAAATCTATATGAAAAAATATACAAAATACAAGATAAATTAGATTTAATCTTTAAGTCTTAATTAATAAGAATGAAAAAATCTATTTCTTTTATTTTCTTTATCTTATATCTTAAAATTGTATCTTTGCACATGATTAGAAAAAGGTAATTAAATAAAAAATTATAAAAAACTAATATCACAATCTTTGTATTTCACAAATTAAATATTTATTACATATAACTAAAATTTACAATACAATTATATATATAAATAAATAACAAATGTAAATATATGTTATTTAAACATAGAAATTATATTTTAATTTAAAATAAATAATTCATATTGTGGTATTAAATTATTAATATTTTATTTTAAAATATTAAAATTTAATTTATAAATATATAATTAAATTAAAAAAAAATAAAAAATATTTTTTAATAAAAGAATAGTTCTTAAAAATATTTATAATATATATATATATATAAAGATGAATTAAAATCGTGATATTGGTCTTCAACAATTTGCATTAGATATATTTTTATTGATAATTATTTTTAAAAGTGAATTGATAAATATGAATAAATACAAAGTGTATAAAGCTTAGAGATAAAGAGAAAGTGGTAATAAATATGATGTAATGTAAAAAGAATTTGTGACCGCGGTAGCTGTGAGTCAGAGTTTTTTGAAATTTGTTTCATTTTTGAATACGATTTGATGTTACGCGGTAATTGGCGGGAGGCAAGGGTCAATTCAGAGTGGAATTGGGCAATTCGTGAAAATATTAAGCTTTGGAATCTTTGCAAAGAAAAAGAGGCATCAATTTCAATGGGGAATCAGCAAGAGCAAGAGCAAGAGCAAGAGCAGACAACCACCGCCACCGCCACCGCCACCGCCCTCGCCATGAAGCACAACCCCGGCATCTCCCTCGATTGGACTCCCCACGAACAGACTATTCTTCAACAAGGACTCTCTCTGTATGTATGCACTATTTCTTCTTTTTCACAATATTTCTCTATCTCTATGCTTTTTTTCATTTCTCGCTAGGTTTAGTTAAGCGCTACCTGTTCAATCTTTGGACAACAGTTCTGGGTTAAGCTTTTCTTTCACAAAGACAAAGGGAACTCTCTCTGTGCACTTTTTTATTTATTTATTTATAAAATTCATAGGAATCCAACTTAGTATCAAAGAGTTTACAATACTCATCTGATAAATTGTGTTTAATTGCATCTATATTTTCTGGTGTCACCGTTTTTTCCTTTTTCATTTAGTATAGGCTAAAATACACTGTTGGTTCATCATCCGATGTTTTGTTTTCATTTGGTCTCTTTGGTTTATAAAGTTTCACTTGAGTCTCTTAGGTGTCTCTGATAAACCAAGTTGGTCTTTTGATCGGTTTAACTTAGTCAACTCGATGATGGTGACACTTGAGATGTCACATCAGATGAGCGTTTGCCATGTTAGTGCAAAAAATTCAGGAGACCAGAGTGAATTTCTATTTCGTCTCTTGAATTTAAAAAAGTTTTATTTTAGTCTCTTAAAGTGTCTCTGGTAAACATAGTTCGTATTTTGATCCATTTAACTTGATCAACTTAGTGATAGGGACACCGGAGATGCCACATCAGATGAGTGTTTGCCACATTATTGCAAAAAATTTAGGGACCAAATAGAACTTTAATTCATCAATTTAAAAGGTTTTATTTTAGTCTCGTAAAGTGTCTATGATAAACTAAGTTGGTCTTTCGATCAGTTTAACTTGGTGACAGTGACACCAGAGATGCCACATAGATGAGCGTTTGTCAGTTTACTTTGAAAAACTTAGAGGACTAAAGTGAAATCTAAAAATAAGATGAGAGACAATAAGTGTATCAGCCTTTATTTTTATTGATGTTATTAATTGGTCTTATCTTGTTGCGGGTTGGTTATTGCAGTTTGAAATAAAATATTTTCAATATATGTATTGTATTTAATTTGATGTGTAAGCACAATTTTGAATTGCATTTTGTGCCTATCCAATGAATTCATATGTTGTTTGCTTTTTAACACCTTTTCCTTGTCTAGTAAAGTGTGTTTGATAAGTTCTATAGCTAGTCTTTGTTTTAAGTAAAAGTCCATTTCTTTTTTACTTGTAGGTTTGCGTCTGAAACTAATCTCACCCGCTATGCAAAGATAGCACTAAATCTTAAAAACAAGACAGTTCGGGATGTAGCACTGAGAGTCAGGTGGATGCATGTAAGCTACATACCTGTTTGTTGTGTTGTCTTAAGTCATTTATGCCATTATAAATGCCGTAACCTGTTCTTCAGCTCAGATAAGATTCTTAGTAAAATTTGTTGTATTGGAGAAGATACTTGGTGCAATTTGTTTTTTGTTTATCTTTATTCTTGTCTTAAGGTTAAAAATAATCATCTTACCTTCCTGAAAGAAAAGGATAATTGAAGGTTCCACCACTAGAATGGTGCTGGACACTTGCATAGCTTTTGCATCCCTCTCCCTCTTAATGAAAAAGAAAATAAAATGGTTTCTATTATTTTTGTGCTATGAGATTGCTTTACGCTTAGCTTTTTCATACTCTGATTAAAATGAAGACAGTTGCTTAGAGGCAGAGCTGGCACGTTAGCTCATTAGTGCCATTTCTACAAAAACGTACCTTTGCCTGCCCCTTTCTGCCCTCTTAACTTGAGCTAACATTATTTGCTTTCCTTTTGGGGGCTTTGTTTGAGCTCAAAGCTGTTGATATGCACCTGCAGGAGTTTAATTTACAATTTAATCAGCATAAAGATCCAATAGTCTACTACAGATATTGAATAAATATATACTTTATAAAGTTTCAAAGAAGCCCCAAATTTTTTTTAAGTGGTTATTTTCTCTGAATGATGATGTGTCTGTTTTGCATTCTCTACAGAAAAAAGAAAATGGCAAGAGAAGGAAGGATGATCATAATTTTCCAAAGAAAATTAAAGATAAAAAGGTATTGGTTTCATTTATTTGATATCATATTATTAATGTATTAACTGAAAATGGGTGTTTCGTATTTCATTCTTGTGCTGTTGTGCATAACAATGGAGATGTGTTTTTAACATTTTTCATTGTCCTGTTCATGCTACAGTCTCTCTGTTTCTTTTTCTTGCTTGTTTTTGCATTTAACCTCATAGTTACTCGAGGGAAAGATATAACATCCCCCCACATGAATAACTACTTTAAACTGGTAACAAATCTGAAAGCAAATGGTGAGCCTTTATATGCTAAGGATTATATTGTAATATTGTTTAAGGGTTAGCTCCCTGACTATGTTATTTTCGGTTACATCAAACATCTATACTGTCTGCACATTATGATATCATCTCCTTCTAGTGTTGTATGGTCTTTTCCTATTTAGGTTGAGGGATTATTACTATGAGTTTTGTTCTTTCTCCATGGAGTTACACTATGCTGTCTTTGGCTTTTGAAATAGACCAAGCATCATATATGTTTTAAGTGTTTTAACCAGGAAAAAGCTAGCATGTCATTTCTCTCATTTTTACTTGTTAAATAAGGAACAATCTAACAATGTTGGCTTAAAAGAAATACCAAGAAAAAATTATGAAAAAGGAAGCAAAAGCCAAGTAGCATATATTTGCATTTATTCAATACTGGATTTTTTTCCCCCAGGAAAAGGTTTCCAGTCCTGCAGCAAGGTCATCTCACTTTACTGCTCAACCTGATGTTTCCCTGTATGCTCTTGCAATGATCATGATGGACAATGATGATGGCATCTCTCACAAAGGTTGGTTCCTTTCATAACATTAAATATTTGATGTTTGCATATATGATTTATCTCTTGCAGGCCCTTTTCTTTCCTTTGGACATATCATGTATTTGCATGTCCCCTGTTGATATTGAAGTTGAAGTGTCTGCTTTGGACTTTGCGTTGTGCCTTTTATAGTTATTGGAGGCCCCACAGGTGAGCTCTTAGAGCAAAATGCACAGGCCTTGAATAAAATCTCAAGCAATCTTGCTGCTCTTCAGGTGAGTTCTTTCCATTTTTAACTGATTTAACCTGAAGCACACAAAAATAATTTCTTGATCTAAAAGAGGCTAAAACACAATTTCTAAATCAACCTTGTTAGTTATATATGCATCAAGTAGATTTTTCTGCTCCAATTTATCTCTCTTTCCATTTTTCCTCAATTTCCATTCATGTCCTTTTTCATTATGGTAAATAGTAACATTCTTATTAAATGGATTACATGATCTTTGAGTTGAAAAATTGTCCCAGTTTTTTTATCTTCACTTTCATTTTTTTAATATCTAGGTAGAAAACACTCATATGTTAGATTCTTCAGAGATTTTGGTTTGACCAGTTGATTGTTGAAGGCTTGTACAACTATGCTTATAGAGATCTGATCAATCATAATATATCTTAAAGTAACAAAGTGATTAAGTGAACGTCAGCTGAATTTGATATTTATAAACTTATGTTGAGATAATTCACCTATGGGTTTATTGATCTTTGTGAATTAATGGAATAAAGGGGAAAGTTTAAGCATTCTATTTAACACCGGAAATCATCCTCTGGAATGTATGAATGCTTATATATATACTCATTGAATTTTTTCCCCTTTATGCTTTTGTTGTTTGGTATCATGTGCAAATTTAGTCAATAACCTGGCATCATTGTATCTTAAGATGTTGAAAAACTGAAGAAATGACTACAGCTGGGATATTTTATAATGTCTCTCTGGTATATGTGATGTAGTTTAGTTTCTAAAACTGGTTTTATGGTTCATATATCTATATTATTTGCATTCTTAAGCGGTTAAGCCATTCTTGGTGGCCGTGATGCTGACCTTTAACTTTTTCTGTTCTCTTGTTTCCAGTTTCAGGATAACATCAATCTTTTCAGCCAAACGAGAGACAACATAATCAAAATTTTGAACAAGTAAGTTAAAAGTTGTTTTTTGGTTGTTTAAAAATATTACTCGCACAGATGTCCAAGTGATCTATTTCTTTTTCTTTTTACATTGTGGTTTGTGAATGACTGCAAGTAAGGAATCAATAAGAAAACTAGGGTGAAACATAACATTGCTTTTTATTATTTTACCTTAAACTAATAACTGAATTAAATTGAGTGCTCTTGTTTTCCAAACCTTTATCATGTCTGGTGATGTTTTGTGTTTATTGAATTTGTTAACGAGTCTTGCTAACAAATGCTATGATTTTAAGAAAAAAGGAAAATTTTTATGAAAAGCACGGCATATAATAGATTTTGTACTTGAAAAGTTTTATTTTTTTGTTTGATACTTTCTATTTTTAAATGGTTAAGTATGTATTTGGAAAACTGTTCAACGTCAGTTAAGCAGGCTTTTTCCACTTTTCAATGCAAAAAAAATTAAAGCGAGTGTAGTGTTGCTTTTCAATTACCTCCAACATAACTACAACACAAACACACCCTAACTGCTCTTTCGCATTTGTGTTTGTTAATTATTATTATATATATATATATATATATTTTTTTTTTGCAATTTGACATTTTCTCGTATTTTTTTTGGCAGCATGAATAACATGCCAGAGGTAATGGAGCAAATGCCGCCTCTTCCTTTTAAGATCAATGAAACGATATTCAACTCTATACTTCCAACAACAAATCACCAGATGCAATAACGATGTTTTGCTCGTTCATCTTGGGCTTGCCTCTTCCATATTTATGCTGCTTACAGTCAAATTGACCCAGCAAAGCATTAAAGAAGAAAGAATGGAATAAGTCTACCCCATCCAGCTGAATTAGCCTTCATCTTTTTTAACATGCTGGTTTTCCTGCTCTTGTTCTCTTGTTAAGTTCTTAACTTAATTGGAGTATAGGAACCAGTGCTCATTATTTTGGGGTTGAATTTAGGAGCTGATAACAATAAGTAGAACTTAGTAATTTGTAAATTTTGTTCTCCATATTTTATATAAATGGTAGACATTGTTTCCTTGTTTCTGCTCACCACTTTATCTGTATTTAGATTTTTTTTGGGCTCTTGTGGTTTTCCTGCAGTGAATGTCTTATTTATATTGTCTTATTTGCTTAATATTTAAGAAGATAACTAAATGTATGATTTCAATACATTACAAAAGAATTTAATATAATAATAATAAATATTTATCTTTATTTAAACAGATCCGTTTGTTAATCTTAATAGGCTTTTTAAATGATCTAGAACATTTTAAGTGGCCTAGAGGTTATTTAAAATAAGCTTTATAAAAGCTTTAGCATGACCAATTTTTTAAGAAGTTTGATCTGACCTAAGCATAATGTAGACTAGGTTATAAGCTCCGGTCAAATGAACTTTCTATCTCTACTTTCAAATGGATTTCCTTCCATTACATGCAAAAAGGCTGCTATAAATAATTAATGGTTAGAATTTCCCTTTTTATTTCAATAAAAATTAGTATAATATATAAGTACTGTTTCTCTCTCTCTCTCTCTCTTTATGAGGAGAGATCTTCTCATGTGAGAATTATTTTTTTTAGAATATCAAGTAGAAAAGTTATACAAAATTGATAAAATTAAACAACTGTGTGCAGAAAGAACTAAATTTTAGGAAATAATTATTACTTTTTGAGAAAAGAGGACTTAAACTCCTTAAATTATTCTTATTTTATAAATAAATATCTTAAACTTTAATTTTATCTTAGTTGGTGTCAAAACCTTTTTCTGTTGACAAATAAATTTATAAACTTTAATTTTATTATAATTGATCTTAAACTTTATTTTTTTAACATATAAACTATTTGCTTTCAATTGAATTTTAGTTGATTTTTATAATTTACTCCTTTTGTAAATAGTCTCTTGTATTACATTTAAAATTTGAAAAGTGTGGAACCATCCGTCATAGGTGAAAGCAATTAATTAAGAGAGTGCTGAACACGATTTTTTCTTAAATAAAATGGAACAAGTTGGTATTATTAGACTTGAGGAAATTTCTTTATTTGGGATTTTATAATTTGGTAAACAAATTAATGGTGTAAAACAATGCCATTTTTTTTGGGTAAAACTTCTATTACCTTGCATTTCAAGCAACACAAACTGATAATGGTTTGTGCTCACAATTGGACATTAGTTTTCTTTCTAGACCTCATATATGCAAATATGCCGTTGTGGTTTTCGAATTTGTTTTTTGCGTTTTGATCGAGGATGACAAAAATCTAAAGTAGTTTCAATTGTAGTTGGATTTGGCTAAAAATTTGTTCTCCAAGAATTGTGAATAGCCCGAGTTCCAATGGGTTTTCTGATTAAAGAGTTAAAACATGAGAAGGTGATGAGGGCTTATCAGAAGTTTATTCTATGGCAAGAAATAAGATAGAAAGTTATGTGTCAATTTTCACACATATATATAAAGGATTTTGTTCATCCCTTTGCTTGAGAAATTAATCCTAAAGAGTATAGCTTCTTGGAGGTCCTAAGAAAGTTTTCCAGATATCCTTTTTCATCTACTAGTTTATAAGGTAAAGTCATTTCAAAACATTGCGTGCATATATGTATTTTAATTTGAGCACATCTACAAATTTTAACATTGTCTCAAACATTACACCATGCAAAAATTTTTGCAAATTACATACGTACGTTATACACATGAAGCATATGTGTTGACAAATCTTAGTTTATATATACTTGCATGCAAAATGCATTAAATTATTTTAGTCTCTAATATCGACCATGCATGCATGCTACCTTTGTTGTTTGGTTTTGCAGGTTAAAGTCTTAAAGATGGCAAACCCCAAAGGCACCACCCGTGGCCTAGCATCTATTATTGTGATCATGACATTAATTCTCTCCAAAACTGCAGCACAAGTAGTAGCAAGTAATATATACAATGCTTTCGTTAAAAGTCTCTACTTGTTCCTGTTTTCTTCTCTCTTTTTTTTTTTTTTTTGCAATTGGCAAAATTAAGATTGCAAAACCATGAACAATGCACAAGACCACCTTTTTTTTTTCTGCAAAAAATATGGACAAACAATATATGCATGTCATGCTTGACAAACTAACACAATCATAGATTTAAGGGGAAAAAAATGAAAAGTGAGAATAGAAGTTTTGTATTTGTAAATATTTCCTTTGACAATAGTCATAAAATATCTAACCTATGACTGACAAGTCATAGGTTTAAGTAAAATTGAGTTAAATCCCTTAACACTAACATGATTTCTCAAGAAATATTTATTCTTAGAGGAAGAAATGATTGATTTACAATAAAGAAATTTACTTTCTTAAGTTTACCAAAACCCATACTTGATATTGATAAACATTTTTCGCTTAAATAAAATCTAGAGGATGCATTGCCTTTAATATTTTTGATTTGATGGTTGGAAGTGTTTTTTTTTTTCTTTCCGAAAATGGCGCGTCATATTTAATTTTATCAAAATAGTGTAACTTATTTTTAATTATTTACCAAGTTTGAGCACGTTGTATTTGGAAAATACGGAGCATATAAAAATGAGTCATATCCGATAAATATGACTTATCAAAAAATTTTTTTTTGCAACCATATTTCACAAGTACGATTCCAGAATATTATAATTAATAATAAAGATCAAAGTCGTGCATATCAAATAAGAGTTTCACATTTTTTTTAATGCATAAGTCTCACCTACACAAGTTACTTGACATAGTAAATAATTTAAGAGAAAATAGTATATACACTTACACAAATATTTAATCACAAATTAAACATACAGTAACCACTAAGGTTAGCCTAGTGATTGAGTAGGAAGGAGTTGAGATAGTTAGAAATATGAGGACTTAGGTTTAATCTTTATTACAACCATCTTTATAATCTTTCCTAAATACAGTAAATTTGTTCACTTTAATAATAATTACCTTAAAAATACATACTAAAGTTGATTTGCAATTCATTGAGGATGTAAAAAATTTTACACAGTTAAAATCATAATTTAAAACATACAACACTTTTGGTAAAATTCAACACAAATTGCACTACTTAAAAAAATAAAAATCACTAGTTATCCAATATGTTTTCATATTTCCTGTGTATCCTAGCTTTTAAATGACCTGACAGGAGCACATTATTTTAAACAGATAATGTGTCAAAACCCATTAAAATGAAGGACAATACTGTTAGAGTTGATCCATTTGATAATTTAAAAAAATACAGAGGAGGATTTGACATCACCAATGTGCACTATTGGACTGTAAGTCTTTCTACCTCTTCCTTATTAATATTGTATCAGTCTAATAATTCCTAAAATCCGTTTTCTTTTTAATTTGTAGTCAGTATTCTTCACAGGAATATTTGGATATGCAATTGGGGGGCTTTGGCTTTTGTTAGGAATTGTGTGTGGATTACTTTTTGTAATAAACAAATTTTGTTGCCAAAAAGATGGAGGAAGAAACACCAAGAAATGTCTTCCTTGTATTTGCAAGAGTTGTCATTTTTCGCCAATTCCTCTGATTATGTCACTCATCATATTAATTATGTAAGTCATCAAACCTTTTCGCATACATATTAGTCATGTCATGATAGTATATACTGTATTGGTTCTCTATATGGTTGCAAAATATGCATGGTGGGTGTGTACATAACAAAATAGAAAGGCACAAACTGTTTAATCTTTAGAAACTGGTCTTCAAAGATATAAATAAGAGTTTAACATGCATATATCTAATAAGATTTAGGTTTAATTGCACTTTAGTTTGTCACCCATTTAACGTATTTTTTAAAATTTTGTCACTCATTTTTTAAAATTATATATTTTGCCATCTTCTTTGTTAATTAATTGTTTCAATTGACTACTCACATAACATAGTAATCGTTAATGTGTCACATTATGTCATGTCGATGGTCAACTTGAGAATTTGATAACACTTTAGATACTTAGAGAATCATTTTGAAATGGTACTTGCTTTCAAATTCTGGTGTATTTATAATTATTGTTTTTAACAGGGTTGCTAGTGTGATAGTTTACATTGGGAGTGCAAAATTCTATTCTGAATCAAGGACTTCAGTTAAGGTTATAATCAAGATAGCAGCTGACGCGTCAGAAATCATACACAATGCAACAACAGCATTAGGACAAATCCAAAAAGCGTTGGTGGGATCCGGTATTAGTGAAGACATTTCTACAAAACTTAACTCTACGGCTAAGAAATTAGATAATGTTGTTGACAAAATCGTAAACATAACTACCAAAAATAGGCGCACTGTTAACAAGGCTTTCAAAGTAATGTAAGAATTTTCACTCTCATTTTCATTTTGAAGTGAATATATACCTCATTACATTGAAATGATTTAATGCTTTTAACTTCAGGTTATTATTTCCTATTGTGATCGTAAGCTTGAATTTAGTTGCAGTACCATTTTTGTCAGGTATGTCTAACTGGTTAACCATGGTGGTAACATATAATGACTATGATTTCTATTTCGATCATAAGTATGCTAGCATCATTGTTATGATCATCGCATTTGAGGTATTATATTGTATGTTTGATCCTCATTGGATTATCACGGTTTTGTTTTTCAAAATATCATTTTTGCCCTTTTGTCTCAATTGGCACTATACACTTAAAAGTTAAAAGTCTTGGATTACTTACCAGTCGAGGCCAGAAGTCATTTATAAACACCTTCTCACCTTAATCCATCGATGTGCATTTTTAAGGACAAAACCGAACTAACGAGTGTCAAAACAACCAATATTTCAGATGATATGGTAACATTAACAATTATGGTAAACTTATGGTCAGAACTATTTCTACAATTACATGTGACAATTAATTTCAAATCTCATATCCTGTTTAGATTTTATGTTCATGATTGAAGGAAAGCCTCAACATGAAATAGGCATGATTCTCATAATATGTTGGAATTTTCTGTTGAACAGTTTTTGGAGTAAAGATGTATTGGAAGCCATTTTACCTGTAGGTAAACTAAATTGTACTTGCTTGGAACTAATATTTTCATCCATGAATTTTTTGTTATTTTTTTCACTCTTCTTTTCTCAGGCTTGTTATACTGTGCTGGTTGATGACGGCGTTGTGCTGGCTAATCTTTGGATTGTATTTCTTCTTGGCAAAGTATAACCAGTTTCTTTCTAATTTACTGATTTTTCTGTTTGTTTATTCTGAGATATCAATTTTCCTGTTATAAAATGTTTAGCATAGTGAAATTAGACCAGATAAACTTCTTCATGAGTACTTATAAGAGAAGAAAATTAGATGATAAATCAACTTATGCACAAGTTATAGAGAAGTTAAATGAAAATAATTTCTATAAATGGCATAAGTTGATTTTTCTAATTTCTATAAAATCGCATAAGTTAAATGAAAATAATTTTTATTACATATAATTGTTTATAAAGAAATTTATCTAAACATCAAAATAACCCATCTTATTCTTCTGCAGTTTTTCTAGTGATACGTGCACAGTTCTTTGCAACTTCGAAGAAAATCCCTATAACAACAGTCTAACCTTCATCCTCCCTTGTAATGAGTTGCGCTCAGCAAAATCAATTCTACATGAAATTGGTGCACGGTTCTCCATCCTTGTCAATGAGGTAGCCATTGCATAGTCTCAAACACTAATTAGTGTTTTTTTTCTTCTATATTATTCATATTGTGTTGGTGTTTAAATTCAGCATAGTAGATTGAGCTAATATGTCATAGAAGACTAATAAGTTATATATGCTTTATGAATCAATGGATTCAGCCAAAACTTGAGTTCAATATTTGCGAGAACTAAAGGAGTTCAATTTTCATATTTCATATTATTATCTGAAATGGACATAATGTTATTATTCTTTGATTAATCTCTAGGTGAATGCAAACTTGGCGAATTTGATTCCAGATAATGTTACCCTGTGCAATCCTTTCACAGGACCACCTGAATATTTATATCAGACAGAGCATTGCCCACCTAATTCTTTTCAAGTAGGAGATATCCCAAAGGTATGATACAAATAAGGGAATTAGTAATTACCAACACTATGAATGTGTTTATCAAGAAATCAGAAAAATTTTAAAGCTAGATTGACCAAAATAAACTTGTTTGATATGAAGACTTGTTTCAGTAATTTCAAACTTATTTTCATAGGTCACTCCAACTAGCTTATGAAAATAAGTTAGCTTGTAAGCTATAAACTTTTTCACTTTTATTCTCATTAATTCTAATGATCAGGTTGTTAGAAGATTTTTTACCTGGTTTTTTAGAGGCTAGATGCCTATTTATACACTCCAACTGGAGGGAAAGTGGTGATATTTGATTTTAATTTCCATTTAATTTATGTGTCAAATACTCGGAAACAAAATTTTGTTGTCTATAATGATTTTATCTGACTCGATTAGTTAGAGTTGACTCTAATAAAAAATACTTGTAGTTTATTAAAAAAAAAAATTGTCTCAAATAACTCAATGTGTCTTTTTCTGTGATTCTAGATTTATTAGCTAATTTTACCAAACACTCTCAATTCAAATTCAAAGAGATAACTTAAAAGTGTTTTATCTTTTAACTCCTAGTTTCTTATGAGCTTCAGCTAGCTTATATTTTGTTTTACTAAACACAGCTTATCTCTTCCATAATCTTGCAATACAAGTATTTTACTTACAATCTATGTTTACTAACACTATCTCTTCCCTAATCTTGCTTTATAGGTATTGGAGCCTTATACTTGTTTTGATGATGAAAAATGTAGCAGTGAAGATTTATTAGTTGGTAGTGAATATAGGTTAATTGAGTCTTATGCAATGCCAATTCAGAGCCTACTGAATATGATTCCTTGGATGGATCACTTGATAGGATGCAGGTTGGTGAAAGATGCATTCTCTCAAGTCCTGGAGAAACACTGCAAGCCTTTGAAGAAATCTGCTCGGATGGCATGGATAGGTTTGGTGTTTCTTGCAGTGATGATGATGTTTTTAATTGTGTTATGGACAATCAAGGCTTGTCAAGATCACCACAGTTATCATCCTTCAGATTCTCCTGTGTAACCAACCCCATTTTGTAATAGGAATTTAGGAAATAATAATGATAATTGAGACCAGTTTAAGAGATTAATCACACTAATCATAGCAACCGCAAATGAGGTTAAAGTAATCAAGTTTTTTTTTCTTCCAAAGGATTGACTTATTAGTGAAAATGAAGGTAATATACGAATGAAGTTAAGTTTAAAAATATGTTGTTACTTTCGTTATAATTTCTACGAAGAAAAAAAAATTAGAAAAGTAGGACTAGGGTGAAACCGGAAAAGTGTTTTTAACTTTTGCCTAGCATGGTAGAAAGATATTTTTTTTTTTTACACAAACAGTTTACAATTTATAAGAAAAACTAAGTTGAGTATGAAATTTAAAAAATAAAAATAAAAAATTGGGGGATAGGGGGCGTTGGAATAAAAGAACTTAATGATTATTATCTTTATTATTTATTTGTAAGTCAAAATTATACATATATATATATATAATAGAATAATATAATAAAGTTCATGCAACTCCTTATTAAAGATAAAAAAATAAAAACATGAATGTACAAAAGAAAAAAGACTAATTTCATAATTATTAATTACTTGATTGATGTTCAATATTAACTCACTTGTAAAAAAAAAAAAGCCTATTATTTTCTTTTAATTAGAAGTTTTACATTAAGACTAGGCACCATCTTATACAACCAACTATTAATCTTTTTTAAAAGATTTATAGTAAAAAATAAAAAGACTTAATAATCAAGTATATGTGTTTTTATTATTCTTCCTTGAATGAAATTGTGAAAATGAATATTAGAATAGTTTCATATTGTCAATCTAATTTAAAATAATATATTTTATTATTTAATAATAAGTATTAGAATAGATCGAAATCACAAAATATTAATAAGTATGAAAACTAATTAATTATCGACTATACTCTCAAATATTATAATTTTTTTTATTCTTTCTATGTACTAATATATATCATCGTATTTTTAAGAAATTAAAAAAACAAACAAATATCTTATCATTTCTTTCTCAATTCAAAAATTATGGTTCATAAAATAAAACAAAGTAAAATATTGATAATTATTAATAAAAATAGAAGAAAAATAAAAATCAAATCAAATTCTTTCTTCTTTAAATATATATATA